ATATACATTGACCGAAAAGCTTTCGGAAATTCTCATTTAAAATTCGCGCGCTGTATATTTTCCGATATTTTAAGTTTATGTAGTTTGGCAGCACTAACCACAATTACTATGCCAAAAATGAGCGCGATCTGTCAGACAGTTCGTTTACGGCAGCTGTTGAAACCAGTTCACCTCAGTAGGGCGTTGCGAAAAAAACAATGGAAAAAAATATTGAACAAAGAGTGTGCATCAAATTTTGTGTTTCGAACGAAATTTCGTGTGCAGAATCGTTGCGAATGCTACAAAAGGCTTATGGGGAATCAGTTTTATCGAAAACTCAAGTTTATGAGTGGTACAAAGCCTTCCAGGACGGTCGTACGACCGTCGAAGACATTTCGCAACGCACTACTGAGGTGAACTGGTTTCAACAGCTGCCGTAAACGAACTGTCTGACAGATCGAGCTCATTTTTGGCATAGTAATTAAGGACAGTGCTGCCAAACTACATAAACTTAAAATATCGAAAAATATACAGCGCGCGAATTTTAAATGAGAATTTCCGAAAACTTTTCAGTCTTAATGTATAATAGATATAAATTACTTACATTAATCAAATACAAAAAATTTTTAAACAATAATTTATTCATTTGATCTGCTCTCTGCATTCGAAGAGCTTGGTGGTGTTGACCGTCCATCGAGCTGTGCTAGATGCTCATTTACTAAACGTTGGCGCTCTAAGTACATTGAGACTTTTATATTTCTGACCTGATGGTTGTTTATCAATTTTAACAGTGCAATCACCCCAACGCCCACCGATATAGCGAATGAACCCCAGGCACCAAACTTGATAACAGAAATATATTATTGCTAAAAATTGTATATTCATGAATATATTCACAAACCTGTGCTGTTCCCATTTCAATATAAAATTCGGAAGTGTCTAAATTTTGTGTATCACCGTGTATAATATTTTGTCCCGCTGAAGTTTCGCAGGATGGAAAACGCTCTGTCATACCATCACACCAAACGATGAAACCTAAAGTTATCATTATTGCTGACATTATCGACATGGTCATCATTAAAATACCCAGTACTGTATCTAAGAACAGTGAGAGGAAGGATGCTTCTTCTTTGATACGCACAAAACTGTTTTATGAACAATATTACATAAAATATATATATATATATACATATATATATTGAGTTTAAAATGATCGTTTACCGATATATTTGTACGCTAGAAATTAGAAACGTAACGATTCCAGACATTAAAGGAAAATTGCAGAATCCGTTTGAGGACCACTTTACATCAAACATACCATCTTCTTCTCGCCATTTTCCAGTCGTAAATAACAAACAATGCCCACTGTATTAAATATTATTAGTGAACACTATGACTAATGTTAATTTTCAATGTAGTATTATTTACCTAAATTGACGCAGATTTATGCCCAACGGAGTTATTACACAAAGTGATAATATTACTAATATTATGTGCCCACTTATTTGGCTCAACGATAAAACGTTTGCTAAAGCCATTTATATATGAATAAAATAAACTTGTTATTGCACAGTTTAAATTAATTAAATTGCAGCACAATTTTATGTTTCGCTATTGTTTAGAAAATTTTCACTGTCACAAAAGCAAAACAGTGTACCACAGTTTTTAGATGTGACACTTAAAATGTTTTTGTACTGATTGGTATAAATTACAATAGTGTATTTAGACTGAACTACCCTCGAGAGTGTGAACGCACTTAATCAATTATTTATTTTTGGTGAAATTAATAAACAGCATTCAAAACAGCTGCTTTTGAGTTGGTTTAAATTAAATAAGAGCAAGAAAATGCCAGGAAAAGATGTAATAAGTATATTAAGGGTTTATATAATCAGTAATGCTGTCAAAAATATTTAGTTTAATGAAGAATTTATAAAAATATTTTACCAAATAAATAAAATGTTATCGCGTCTGATGCGTTTACTATGTTAAGCGAATTTTCAAAACAAATACAAAATATATGTAAAAATTTAGTTGTCAAGTTACGAATTCACGAATTCGATTAATTATCATTATTAACACAAATACCTATATATTAAAAAATCGCTTTTATAAATAAGATGATATATACTGCATAATTGTATAAGAGTAGAACATCGAACAAATAAATACTAGTAGATTGATTTTTCTGTTTACTGCTGTTTTATTTGGTTAGTCAACAATCAGGTTTTGTAGCTTTTTTTTTTCACTTCCCAACAAAGGTGACATAAAAAATGAACAGTCTCTTTGTTCGCCAGGCTTGTAAATTTCATTGTGTTTTGATTTAGGCAGGGCTGGATATTACAAAAAATGTGCAGTTCATATACTTGCTTTTTCTGATCTTCCCGTTTTTATTTTTCTGATTGAAGTAGATATCCAAACTTAATGCATGAGTACTAACTAGTTATTGACCTATCAGTATTGTCAGGACTTCTCTAAGTTCGATCCTAATTCTGTCCAATAGGGGTTTCGTTCTCTATAAATATATAATTGGACTAGAGACTTCTCAGCAGACTCTGTATTATGTTCATCATCTTTTTTCAGGGGTATAAGTGATATGTGTACTAGTTACATTTAATGCAAATATGTAGTCTATTGTTGTCTGACAAGAGAGTAAGATAAAAAGGATATTCTCATCTTTGATTTTAAACTAAGAAATATAAATTTAGGACCTTTAGCAGTGTTACTGGCCATTAGATGCACAAGATAACAGAATGTATGCTGTGCAAGTGTCGTAACTCTGGTACGCTGCGGCTAGTGCGATCATATCCTCTATACGAGCTATGGATTTTGGCTAATTCTAATCGGTCGAACAGAAGCAAACGCGTCTTGAATTAGATATCAAATTCAAGGTGTCGAGAGATGAATGGCCATGGATAATTGCTGTCTAATAAGCGAACTCTTGATACCTTAGACTTTCACTTTTAATTAGACTTCTTATGATCAATAAAATATCGTGAGATAGAGCGGTTGTTTTTTCATTTCCGAATTGTATCAATAATGAAGTAAGACTTGACATGAATCTGCATCCAAATGAGTCATTTGGCATCGGGCTTTTAGAATCTCTTGATTGTGGTAGGGTGCTATGCATAAAGTATTCTTTTTCTTCGCTTGTAACTAATAATCTCATTAAAATTACTGAAAAATTGCGGAAAATTATCAAGATGTGTTTTCGAATTCTGAGAGTTTTAAATTCGCTGCCTCTGACTCTGGAGATGTGGTCTCACAGGAGACCGGTTTAACCGTCGTCGGCTTCAAACTGGAGAATATTATTTTGGTAAACAAAAAATTTGATTATCTCAAACGATGTGATACTACGGTCAACAGTAGAGCAGAAGTTCTCAAAATCTACACGTAGACCGTCAGGAAAGTGGAATAGATCGAAAGAGCAATCCAAACTATCGTTCAAACTGATTGTGGAAGGATGTGCGATTAGGCTTCACGTTACCCGTTCTCTGCATCCCAAATAACGCCTTTTCAAGAAGCAACTATTAACGATCCGATTAAGGTACAAAGCGCTGATATTAGCCGGAGTACCTGGTTACTTTTGACAGGGACAAGATGAAATGGGTAAGTGACTCCTTTAAATACTGTAAACCTGTAAATACCGTAATTTTTCCCGCATTACTACAAAAGCACGGATAGTTTTCTTGGTCTGTTGTACGAACTCTTAAGGACTTGTTTTACTATGGATTATATATTGCACTGCTGAAAAGACGCGAATGTGATTTTTATTCCCAAACTAGGAAATTAACACTTGGATTTACCAAAATCCGATAAGTCATGTGATCTAACATATAGTATTTCTTAAAGCAGATTGCAGAAATACTAGTTGAACTGCATAAGTTAGAGCCCTTAGTCCCTTTCTATTGCACTCAGTTTACCTACTCCAAAGGCAAACCAACTTAAGTTGCCATGCCTTTAGAGATTCTAGAACCGAAATTGTTCTTATAACAATTGTTCCTTTGTCTTTTATTTATCCCCCATTTTGAGTAGTTTCTTTTATAAGTTTATATAAATTTTTCCCAAATAAAAACAAAATTTTTCTCTTTTGTTAATAGTTACATTTATTTTGTTGTTATTTTCAGTTTTTGTTGATCGTATCTGGTTTTCACACGTTTATGCTATTATTTTTAGCTTATTGGTTGATTTTTTTTATTTTCTGATGGTTTTGAAAATTACATATCTGTTATAATCTGTTTTTCATCAAATGGAATTTTACATTAATACATAATAGTTTGCACTGAATATTTTTCAAAATTTTTAATTTTTTACTATTGTAATTACTATTTGGTTGGGATGAGGTCAAAAAATGTTGTTGTTAGTATCGTATTATTCCTTTGAAAGTGATTTTCTACTTGTTAAGTATTTCCAATTAGCTGCTTTTTGTATTGTATTTAATTTTTAATTGAAATATAGAAAAGCATTTTGTGACAAAATTATAGTTTTGCCCGTCAATATTTCATTTTGTAGAAGTTTTAATCAAATTTTCAATCATCTTCTGTTTTTGTGTCAGTTACGTTAGTTACGTTACGTTACGTTACGTCGATTACGTATGAAATTTCATCCTTGATTGGTTGCTTGGTTGATTGGTTTGTGTTAAATAAAATTTTGAAATGTGTATTATTTGAATTCTGCTTATGTTTTGTGTAACAATTTTATTTATATTTAATATTTAAATTCAAATTGAGAAAAATAGTATTTTAGTTCTTTGGTTTTGCCAGCTTCTTCTTATTTAATGTATTGTTTATGTATGTATAGTTTGATGTTATCTTATCTTGTTATATGCTCTCATTTTAATTTTAATTATTTTATTTATTTGGATTTTATTGTATTTTTTATATACTTAATATTAAACACTACATAAATTTACTATATTTAGTATTTTATTTAGTTCTTCCATTTTTATTATAATTTTTGTTCATGGTTGGTAGTTTAATGTTTTGGATTTCTTTAAATAATTAATATATTTTTAAGAAGTTAAATTTTTTGGTATGCTTACATGCTAGAATTTCTTATTTCTTTTTTATAATTAAATTTTAAATGAGAAGTTAATAATTTTTTATTTTAATTAATTAAATTGAAATCACCTACCAACTGCAGATTTTATGTGAATAAAGTCAATCGATTTGTTTGAAAGAAAAACACATTGTGACAGAATGCTGTGCAATATTTAATATAATATACAATAATATATAAATATTTATATATGTATTGTATATTGTTTTGATTAAGTTACTTTATAACTATATTTATTATATTAAGTATTAATTATAAATTATTATATTTTAAAAATTAACATTTAAAAATTGCAAAACAGCAAATTGTCTATATAGATTATGTTTCAGTTTCATGAAAATGCACGGAAATTTTAATTCACTGATTAACCGTATTCACTGAGCCCCTAATCGCAGCAGGTAAAGGTGATTTCTTTACTTTTTCCAATTAATATTATAGTAAATTATACACATGATTCATTTTATGTATATTTTTGTATTATTTAGTTTTCTTTATAAGTCCTTATATGTTTTCCGTGCTCACATATAAAGTTAAGTACACCTCTTTTATATGTACATAAATAATGTGTTTCATTTTTCTTTAAATTTCTTTTTCTTTTACTTTTTAATAGTTAAAATAAACATATGTGTAAATATAAAAATCAAAAATTCATAATAAAAATTACAAGCGTTTTAGTTAAAATTGTAAGTTGTTTTTTCAATTTTGTATTTAATATAAATTTTAGTTTTTCAACAAATGCTTATTTATTTCATTTCATTTACATACATAGCTCTCTAGTATAAAATGTAAATGTATTCATTCAGTTAAAACTATTTTAAAGTTTTCTTTTTTCATTTTTAATTTTTAATTTGTTTGCATTTGTGCACAAAAAATGCTAAACACAGCAATGGAGAAGATTAATACCAATTGCACGATCAAACAATCAAACAATAGGTAACGAGTTATGTTCCATATGCCAGTCATTGACATTGAACTGTCAAAGCTGTTTTACGTTTTTTACCAAACATTAGGAATTCTTACTTTTTTAATATAAGATATATAGTATAGTATATATATATGTATATATTTCTTTTTTTTTAGCGTCCCGAATAATATTAGTTACGACAAAACTATGCAATATTTTACTTTCAAAAAGTTTAGGTAAAAATTTTCTCACATTTGCTGTGTCTATGTTACTAATAGTTAAGGCTGGGTAGTTAGTAATGTTTATTCCCAGTTATTATTTCCAATTAATTTTGGTAATTACTGCATTTTTTATTTTCTTTGCTTTTGCCTCGTTTAGCTTAAATTGAAGCTTACAATGTGATTCGAATTTTAATAGAATTATTATTTGTAGTAATCACAATAAAGATTTAAAAAACATTGAACCACTTTTCTTAGTTTCTTAGTCAGTGATTTAAAGCTATGAAAATAGCTTGAAAATTTTTGTATAGTTTTGCAGTTTATTACATACATATTTATTTATCCATTTTTGAATGATTAAATATATTAGATTCAGTGTAAAATGATTACATTTGCTTGCTATTTGGTTTTAATGAAAATAATGCAAGCCTGTGCCATTCTAATATCACTAACCACAAATGAACAAATGGCGTTAACCAGTTAAGTTTTTTATAACTTTTTATACTTTTTGCTTAACTGATTAGTAGATTTAGCTTCAATTGCTTTTAATTGTATTAAATTGTAAGATTTTTACTCATTCATATGTCTTGTGTGTGTATTTCCAAATTACTTTTAACATTTAGTTAATTCGTCTGTTAAATGCTCATATAATAAAGTCATTAAACTAGATTAGTTATTCT